TTCACAGCACAACAAGATACCCTTCCACACCACTAGATTAGTAAAAGTTAAGCAGCATGACAGTGTAAAGATGTACTTGCTGGCAAGAATATGAGCCAAATGGAAAGTCTCACATACTGCTTGGTCAAATAATCATTTTGGAAAACAGTTTGGCTTATCTTATAAGGCTGGGCACATGCATACTCAAAATTACAGTAATTTTACTCCTTAATCGATACCCTCTGAGAAATTTTGGCTTAAATATATTTGAAAGATAGTTCCAATATAGTAAAAAACATTGATGTATATATATAGTATGTATATATATAGTATGTATATATATATAATAGTATATAATATAGTATATAACATATAACATATACCATATAATTATTATATATACTCTATATAAAATATAATTGTTATATTGATATAATATATACTATATATATTACTATATTATATATGCATATATACATATAGTAAAAACAAAAACAAGGGCGCCTGGGTGGCTCAGTCAGTTAAGCATCCAGCTCTTGATTTCAGCTCAGTTCATGATCTCATAGTTCATGAGATTGAGCCCCACATCCAGCTCTGCACTGACAGCACGGAGCCTGCTTGGGATTCTCTCTCTCCCTCTCTCTGCCCCTCCCCTGCTTGTACACACTTGCTCTCTCACTCTCTCAAAAATAAATAACCTAAAAAAATTAAACACACACATACATATATATGTTAAGCTATATATATGTATATATATAGTGTATATAATATATATGTTATATATGTATATATAATGTATATAATATATATGTTATATATTTGTTAAATACACACACACACACACACACACACACACACACACAAACATACATACACATAGGCAGGTCAGCTGCAAGTTTTAAAGATGCCACCCAAAGGAAAAAGTGGTTCCGGGAAAGGTGGGGAGGGGAAGCAGCCTCTGGGAGTGGCCATTCTGACAAGAAGGCTCAGGGTCCCAAAGGTGGTGGCAGTGCAGTAAAGGTCAGACATGTTCTATATGAAAAACATGCAAAATCATGGAAGCCGAGGAAAAATTAAAGTCTGGAAAGAGATTCAGTGAAGTGGCTGCACAGTATCGTTGAGATAAAGCCAAGCAGGGGGGTGACACGGGTTGGATGACCCGAGGTTCCATGGTGGAACCATTTCAAGAAGCAGTATTTGCCTTGCCTGAAAGTGGGCCGGATAAGCCTGTGTTTACGGACCCTCCGATTAAAACAAAATTTGGATATCATATTATGATTGAAGGGAGAAAATAAAATTGTACAAAAGACTGAAAAAGTATACATATTGGCAAAAAAATAAAATCGTTAAAAAAAATAAAATCATTTTTCTTCTGAAAGAAAAAAACAATAAATTATGGTATGCCTACACTATGGAATATTATGAGCAGGAAAAGAAATAGATGAACTATAACTCACCAGCTACAGATAAGTGAATCTTAGAACTCTATCTTTGAGTGAAAGCATGAGTTATCAACAGAAACTGTACTGATGACTTACAGTCATCATCGATATGACCTATAACATGACATCATTTCAAGAACAAAATAAGTCAATATATTATTTAGGGAAACGTGCATGTGATTTTTTTTTAAACTATGTTATAAGAATGCAAGGGCATCCATCATAAACGCAAATTGGGAGCATGATTAAACTGGCAAATTAAAGAAGAGAAAAATCTGGGGTGCCTGGGTGGCTCAGTAGGTTGAGCGTCCGACTTCAGCTCAGGTCATGATCTCGCGGTTTGTGGATTCCAGCTCTGCGTCAGGCTCTGGCTGATGGCTTAGAGCCTGGAGACTGCTTTGGATTCTATATCTCCTTCTCTCTCTGCCCCTCCCCAACTTGTGCAGGAGTGCATGTGTGCTCTCTCTCTCTCTCAAAAATAGATAAATGTAAAAAATAAAAAAATAAAGAAGAGAAAAATCTGAATAGTCAACAAATATATAAAAAGATACTCAATCTCACTACCATCAGGGAAAGTTTAAAATTAAAACAAGGTGCATTTTCCATCCATACAACTGACAATATTTAAAAATCTGATAATATGAACTATTAAGAAGAATGAGGGGAAATACGGCTTTCATGAGCTTGTGCAAATGTAAATTAGTAATGTGAATGTAAACTAGGCCATTTTTAGTAAGACTGAAGAAAAACACACTTACACTAGGTCCCAGAGATTCCTATTCTAAGTAAACACCCCAGAGAAACTTTCACACAGTGATATACTCCCTACCCCCAGAAGTGCCCATGGCTGCAGTGTTTGACAGAACCTAATTGTTCTTTAGGAAGGAAACAAATAAACTGTGAATAATTTATATATGAATGGTATGAAGAAGCCCAAAAGTATGTATAAACATGGGATGAATCTTGAAAATAAAATGAAGTGAAAAAAAAGTATCACATTGTATCTATTAATTTTTAAAATAAAAAAATGTCATATATCTCATGTATGTGAGATAAGAACTTGTGATTTGTGTGTATTGTTTGCCTGTAGACAGGATTATGGTCTGGAAGAGTGAGAAAGGTTGATGATTCAGGAAAGAGCAGAGCCTAAAGAATGAGCTCCTCAAGAAGGTGCAGAGTGAAGGGGCGGGGCTTTGTAATGGATTGTTCCCTTTTTTTGTTTTTAGAAAGTTTTTTTTTTAAGTTTTATTTATTTATTTGAGGGTAGGGGAGAAGAAGAGAGAGTGGGAGAGAGAGCACTGTCAGCGCAGAGCCCAACCCAACCCGGGGCTCCATCTCACCGTGAGATCACAACCTGAGCCAAACTCAAGAGTTGGACACTTAACTGACTGAGCCACCCAGGCGCCCCACGTAATGGATTGTTCTTAAAATATATTTGGTGATTAACCTTGAGGTTTGGGATATGCAAGGTGAGGCAGTGGAAAGGTGACTTTCTGCTCCAGCTCACTTGTCTCAACTTAAACAAATAAATAAGCAGTAAATAAATTGGAAGAGAAGTTATAAGAAAATCCAGCCCATAATAACAATGTTTAGAGTGAGGCTGCTCCTCCTGCATTAAAAAAATAACTTTAAATAATAACTTTAAATTCATCTACGGGCCCCAACCAAAGGCGCCACCTGATTTACTCATCTCTTTATGTAAGATTAAGTATTGGAACTAAATTAAAATTCTCCTTTGTGATTTGAAGTAGTGTATCACTGTTGACTGATGGGAACCTAATCCACCCCATGGTCTAACCTCGTGAAAACTACCATCCCTGTAAAGCACTACAGCGGGAGCTCTTGCCCAGAGGGGAAAAGAATAGTATGTTTCTTTTCTTCTTTTTTCTTTTCTCTTCTTTTTTTTTTCTTTGTTTAAGTAGGCTCCACACCCAAAGCTGGGCTTGAACTCACCACCTTGAGATCTCAAGAGTCACATGCCCTACCGACTGAGCCAGCCAGGTGCCCCAAGAATTGGGTGTTTCTGTGAAAAAAATTACAAATCACAAATATGTGTACCTCCCAACCACCACATACTACTTACTTGTTAATCTCACAGCAGTTTTTTTTATATTAATTAGCATTTTAAGTTAAATACTAACTTGATTCATCTAATGAAATGTTTCTTTTTTATTTTAAAAAAAATTTTTTTTTAACGTTTTTATTTATTTTTGAGACAGAGAGACAGAGCATGAACGGGGGAGGGGCAGAGAGAGAAGGAGACACAGAATCGGAAGCAGGCTCCAGGCCCTGAGCCATCAGCCCAGAGCCCGACGCGGGGCTCGAACTCACGGACCGTGAGATCGTGACCTGGCTGAAGTCGGACGCTTAACCGACTGCGCCACCCAGGCGCCCCGAAATGTTTCTTTTTTAAAGGCCAGTGGCCAAGTTGATTCTATGTAACCCATTATCACTGTATTCTTTTATCTCCTCCTATAATCATGCATAATCATACAGTAATTTTGTCAGTTTATAATAATACTGATTAACCCCTATTACTGGCAGATTTAACAATTTATCTGTAATCTTCTACAAATGACTTAAACTAGAAAATGCAACTATATATCACCCAAAATGTCAACATTATAAACTGAATTGACAGATGTATGAAGTTGTATCATTTCAACATTTGACACAATTGTAACTGCTTTTTCTTATTGCTCAAATGCAACCAAATAGCCACTGTGAATCAGTGAGGAAGCAGTAGAATTTATAGTGTAAGAAACCTAGAGCTGGTGAGGAAGGGAAAGAGAAGGGAGGATGATCCGAAAACAAGGGGGAAAAACTTACTATTTTTAATTTAACAGAGCATGTATCCCCATAACATTAATGTGTCCACATATAAAACAGGCTGTCCCTTGGAAGTTCTTTAGTTTCTGGTTCATCTTTTTACATCGCAAAAGAGCTGTTTCTACAAGGCCCACGGCTAAGCAGTATTTTCAGACTTTTTTTTTTTTCCATCTAATCACCTACTGCATGACAGGTAAGCCTGACCGTTATGACCAGTTACCTTTTAATCACTTTAGTCTTGAAAAGATGTTCTGAACTTACCTTACTTTATCAGAAAATTCTGGCGGGTACTTACATTTTTCTGGAGACAACGTTATAGCTCTCAAAGATGTTCAAAGGGGTTTGTGACCGCAGAAAATCCAAAGACAGTACATTAAGATAAGCTCTCTTTTCGGGCCACGTGAAAATAAACACGCGGCGCTGCCTCCTCGGCTCCACTCTGCCCGGCCTGTTCTCCGCGCAGTCCGCCGAAGAGCGACCTCCAGCAGGGGTCGCTGCGCCGCCGCCGCCGCTCCCGTGCGCCCCGCCCGGCCCGCTCTCGCCGCGGCGGCGCTGACGGAAGGGGCGGGGCAAGGCAGGGCGGGGCCTGGAGGCCCCGTCCGCAAGGCCGCGGGGAGGGATCGACGGGGGGAGGAGCTGCCTTGACTTGCAGGTAACTGCGCCCCTGTCGGGCGTGCTGTGCCCCCGCCTGGCGCCCACTCTGTTGCTTCCTGGCGCGCACTCGTGAAGTAGGGGCGCGGCGAACGCCTCTGCCCAGCCTGCGCTCCTGCCAGGACTCCGCGTGAGTCTGCCGCGTCCTGCCTGCCCCGGCCCGGCCAGCCTCAGGACGCCCCGTGGACCTGGGGGTTGCGGGGTCGTGGGCACTTGGCGCGCAGAGGCACGCCGCCTTCGGGCCCGGCCGCTACTGCTGGCTTCAAACGCAGACCCGGAGCTCGAGGACGCAGGTGTCCAGTTTCCTTTGACCTTGAGGACCCGGGAAGGTGCGCAGCCCGCGGGGGTGGGGAGTATGCGGGGGAACCCGACCCCGTTTCGGTGTTCAGTCTGAGGTCTCCAGGAGAAGGGAGGATTTGCAGTTGCAGTAGACCGCAAAGCAGTTAGGACAGGTTCTTAATGGAGTAGTGAACAGGCTCAGAACGTGGAGCGATTCCCAGTGTCCCGCAGGTCAAGGGTAACGTTGCCTCTCTCCCAGACGTTGATTTCTTACTGCCTTCGTCTAATTCACGTCTCTTATATCGCTCCTGAAGATCTCACCACAAACCTCCGGGATACCTGCCGTTTTCATCCTCGCAACTCACGTCCACGTGATTAGCAAAATAATAATAATAATAATCTTTTGAAATGTACTTCTATCGGGTCACTTCCCTGCTTAAGATCTTTCTATGGTTCACATGCTCTCTGGGTCAATTCCAAACTTCTATGGGCAGGGTCTTTCGAAATCTAGCCTTTTGCACTTCAATCGAGCCCCAACTTTGTGGGGTCTTTTCTGGGTTCATTCTGATGCTCCAGTTCTCCTGATCTACTTTCGTTCCACGGTGGCTAATTAAGCACACCCACCATGTGCCAGGCACTCTTCTGAGGCCCTTAGGATTCAGCAGAGGCAAACAAATTCAGGTGAAGATTTCTACCCTGGTAGAGTTTATATTCTATTAGGGGAAACAGTCCAAAAAAAGGAAAAAAGAGAAAGAAACACCCAGTAAATTATGTATGATATGATAGGTGATAAGTGCTATAGAGGAGAAAAGTAGAGCAGAGTAAGGGATGATTGGGAGGGCAAAAAGCTTATTAAATAGAATTGGAATGAGTAGACAGCATTGAGGTGACATCGGAGTTAAGAGTTGAAGAGAGGTGCCTGGGTGGCTCAATCAGTTAAGCATCCTATTTCAGCTCAGGTCATGAACTCACCGTCCATGGGTTGGAGCCCCACATCAGGCTCTGTGCCAGAGCTTGGAGCCTACTTCGGATTCTTGTCTGCCTCTCTCTGCCCCTCCCGCATTCATGTTCTGTCTGTCTTCCTTTCTCAAAAATGAATAAACATTAAAAAAAAAAAGTTTAAGAAAATAAGTTGTCTATGCAGGTGTGTGGGGTAAGAGTTCTGGGTGCAGCTGGGACAGAGACCTTAACCAGAAATGTCCCTGTTGTATGTGAGAAGCATCAGGAAGGTCCGTGTGGCTGGAGCTGAGAGAGCAAAGGTAAGAGTGGCAAGAGATGAGGTCAGAGAGGGAACGGAGGAACGAGATCACATGGAGCCTGTTAGCTACAGTAGGGACCTTCCTCTTCTCCGTGCTTTTGTAGGAGTGATAAAGTATAAATTATTTTTGGAAGAATGACTGGTCTGTGGAAAATAGACTCTACTGGAGCCTTTGTAGTATCCCTGGTGATGAAGCAGTGGAAGTGGTGAGAGGTGATGGGATACTGGACCGTGTTTTGAAGATACAGCCAACATAATAACCTCTTGGCATATTGGATATGGGTATGAGGGAGGATCAAGAATTACCGGAAGCTTTTGTTCTCAGCACCTACAAGGGTGGAGTTATCATTTACTGACATGGGGAAGGCTACAGGTGAAACAGATTTGGGGTTGGTGACGTGTCAGGAGTTTGTTTTGGGACCAGTATAGCTTGAGATACCTGTTACACGCCCAAAGTAACAGGGATGTCAAATAAGCGTTTGGCTATTGTGTCAATGTCCCAAGACCACCCCTAGGTTCACTAATTCACTAGGAAGATTCAATAGGACTTGGCTCTGGGTCAGGGCTAGGGTTTATCACAGCAGAAAGATACAAAGCACAGTAGCAAAGGGAGAAGATGCACGGGACAAAATCTGGAGGAAACCAGGTGCAGTCCTTTAAGAGTCCTCTCCCAGTGGACTCAATAGGACAGGCTTAAATCCCCAGCAACAAACTGTGACATGTGAAATACTGTCTATCAGGGACACTCATTAGGGACTTTGCCCAGGGTGTTTATTGGCTTTTGTCATATAGGCACTCTCTGTCTAGCATGTACCAAAATTCAAGACTCCCAGAAGGAAAGCAGGCGTTCATCATAAGAAATTGTACAAACAGGGGCGCCCTGGGTGGCTTGGTCGGTTAAGCGTCCAACTTTTGCTCAGGTCACGATCTCACGGTCTGTGAGTTCGAGCCCCGCGTCGGGCTCTGTGCTGACAGCTCGGAGCCTGGAGCCTGTTTCAGATTCTGTGTCTCCCTCTCTCTCTGCCCCTCCCCTCTTCATGCTCTGTCTCTCTCTGTCTCAAAAATAAACGTTAAAAAAAAAAAAAAAAAGAAATTGTACAAACAGTTTACAGTGGTGAGCTACTCCTGCCAGTTCTGAGAGTGGCGAGAGTCCTTAAAATCCCAAGTTTCCAGATGCCAGCCGGGGGCCCACCTTATAAGCAGGCCTTTCTAAGGATAGTGGTCTCAGGCCTGCTATATTAAATCTTTTCTGCACAGATATACATGTCTGGAGTTTTGGAGAAAGATCTGGAATGGGGATGTAGACTGGGGAGTAGTTGGCATATAGGCGGTATTTAAAACCATGGAAATGTTTGGTGTCTTGATACGCATTTGTCAAAACTGATGAATCACATAGAAGAGATGCAGGCCAAAGATTGAGCCCAGGGGCCCACCAGCGTTAAGATGTCTGGGAGAAGGGAGGACAGCAGGGAGGGTACACCAGGAGGATTACCAAGAGCAAGGTGTCCCGGAAGCTAAGTGAAGAAGAAGGGAGTGATCACTGGTTTCAGATGTGCTGAGAGGTCAGACAAGAGGAGGACTCATAAATGACCTTTTGGATTTAGAAAATGAGAGGCATTGAGGAGAGCATAGACAACCGTTTTGAGTTTTGTTATAAAGATGAACAAAAGTTGTAGCTGGGAGTTAGTGGCATTAAGAGAAGGTTGGTTGGCTTTTTAGTGAGAGAAGTAACAGCATGCTGATGAGAATGGTCCATTAGAAAGCGAAAAATTATGGTTGTAACTTGCTGTTCCCCCCAAGTTCTGTTTCAGGCGACCTTTGCAGTTAAAACTCTTCACAGGCATCCCTGCTCCAGGCATTAGCCTGTATAGGGTCCCGCCTCCTTTGGACCTTAGCTTTCACTTAAGTTCTCTGACAGCCAATTTGCCCACATTCCCCTTGAATAGCAGTTCCTTGAGGGCAAGGGCTGTGTTTTATCCCCTATCCCCAAGCCTAGCCTAGCTGGCTACCTAGCATATACAGGCAAATGAGTGAATGTAGGGTGGATGTGATAATGGGCAGGATGCTCCTTTCATTTCTAGAAAATGAGTCTGCAAGTATTCACTGGTGTTTGTGTGTGCCAAGCTAATGGGGATGGGAGTGAGGAATGAGACACAATTCTTGCCCTGTCACTACCCATAGAGCTTAGAAGATAATAACAGTACAAAGACACATAGCATTGGTGCAACATGAATTTGGAAAAGGGAAGGGGAGGGTGGAGAGGGAGAGTGGCTCTTGTGTGGAGCCTGGAAGAGGGGGGAAGCCATGCTAAAAGGACATTTTTTTTTTTTTTTTTTCCCATTAGTAGAATCCTTTCTCCAAGTGAAATACAAGGAACCTCAGTATTTTCCAGCACTGCTGCTCTGGTCGAAGAGGGGTTGGGGCCTGGTTAGCACTCTGCTCCATTACTTCTCCTCTGACCAGTGATCAGCTCTGTGATAGAACTTGGGTTCTCAGGCTCTACCCCGTGGCCCTGGGTGTCCATTGCTACAAATGGTCATCATCTCCAGCAAAAATTAGGTTAATGTGTTTTCTCAATTTTATGTTCATAATTTGTTTAATCTTTTTTTTAAATGTTTTTTAAATGTTTATTTTTGAGAGAGAGCAGGGAAGGGGCAGAGAGAGAGGGAGACACAGAA